GGGGGGGGAGGAAGGAGGGGGGACAAGCGATGTCGGAGAAAGCTTTCCTCACTTTTAGTACCGCTGTCCACCCACTCCGGGAGAGGGGGGGCATCACTCCCTGGATTCGCCAGTGCTGATAACCCACATTTCCACTCTGGCAGGAATGAAGAAAAAGATCGAAGACTCAAATCCATTGTATTTATTCCAAGGTTTTTAGAAGAAAATCTGCCCATAGCTTGGATAATTTCGTGAACAATCACATAACATTGCAAAATAATTCGCAGTGAATTACCTCTGCAAAGGTCGAAAATCGCTAAGCTTGAAAACGTCCGACAAAACACGGCGACACTTGTTGGTCCACTCGAAACTGTCCGAATCCCATATGCTAACCGAACTTTCATTTTCCACATTCCTTTCAGTTATTCTCCTTTCAATCTAAAGAATCCTTTTTCCGGATATGCGAATAGAAAATGGAGGGAAAAAAGAATATGAATGAAAAAACTATATGAAAATGCTGATTATAAGACTAATTTTAATTTCAGTTGGTATGTGTTTATGTAAGATGTAAGGAAATAAAAAAAGAAATGTGAATAAGTTAAGATTAAAATCTGAATGGGAATGTCTCGGTCAATCAAGTCGCATACATTCCTATTCAGTGCTACAAGTGGACCTCGTCAGTGTGACGGTTGCAGCCAGCGTACTAAAATACATAACGAATGACGAATTGCGGTCATGTCCCAGTGCACAAAACGTATAAAAGAAACGCATGACAGAAACAGGATGATCATTTGGCAAGAATGACAGACAACAGATGGACGAAACAAACAGGTGAATGGTACCTAAGATGTGCCAAAGCAATAGTAAAAAGGTGACTGGCATGCTGAGACAATCCAAAAACTCGAATTTGGGAAACTACGTAAACGTAGAGAGTAGATGATCGTAGTTAGAAGGAAAGTTACCGTGCACAGGTAAAACTCAGAGGTACGAAAAAACAGTTGTTTTGGGTCTTCCAAGCATAAAATCATTGGCGAGGCGCATCACCGTGCGATCACGCGTTCTTGCAATATTTCGTGCTGTAGCAAGATCGCATGGAGTCCAAGAAGCTAGAATTTCTGGCATACTGGTCCTCGAAGTTCAGGAAATGGCATACTACTGGTCCCAGAAGTTCAGGAAATTAATTGGACAAGTACGTGATACTCGGTCGAGAAACATTCCCTCAAAATCTCAGCTCCTCAGCTTTTTTGGTCCCCGAGTTAGCGAACCCTCCCACCAAAAATTTTCACGGGGCTGTGCGTAAGAAACACGCGCACCTGGGGACTGAATTTGAAATTTTTGAGTTCTATGTGGATGGGGAACATAACCTCAAAATTTCAGCTTCCAAGCTTTTCTGGTCCCCAAGTTGGCGATTTTCCCGCCAAAACTTCCACGTGCTCGTACGCGGGGCACAGACGCGCGTGCGGGTTAGTACATAGTTCTGAGGTGGCACTTGGCTAGGGAACCCAATGGCAAAATTTTGGCGCCGGAGCTTGGTTGGCTGTCGAGTCGAAATACCTGGAGAGACGCACGCATGCGCATACACACACACACACACATACTTATACATGCATACACACACCGGGGTCTTCACAATATGCAATTTTGCCTGTGCATATATGCAAAAACACATAAAGAGATGTTTGGATGAATCAAATTTTTATTGTCAAAAAGGTGCAGTCACGAATTATACCCAAAATTTATGGAAAATTTTCAAAACTGCGTAATTCAGCGAAACATTCCATCCCCCACCAGTGTTTTACGGGCTCTACTGAATGGAATAATAGAATAGGAGATCAAAGATCAGTTTTGAAAATTTTCCATAAATTTTAATACCTGTTTTGGATGTAGTCTGTGTCTCATCCCTTAGCTGTAAAAATGTGAAGACAGAAAAAAAGCGGAAGGAAAATTTTAATTCAAGGAAAACTAAGAAAAAAGGAAAACTCTTAAACAAACGGGAAAAGAAAAAACCGCCATTGTTTTACCTGAGCTTTTCGTTCCAGCAGTGCTTGTTTTCGTCGTTTCAAAGAACGAATTTCCGCTTCAATGCTGCCAAGTTCGGTATCCAGCTGCGTCAGTTCCGCCGACAGCTTCGAACCACGTGACGGCACCGATGTGGCTGCTTCCATGTCTGGAAATAACGGTGATAAAATTCAGCTGTACCGCGCAATCCTCACCGTCATAACCCCCGTTGAATCGCTAAAAAACAAAAGCCCTTACGAGAGCTAGTTCTGAAATAGAAGAGTAGAAGGATTTCACTATTGAATGTCATGTGTATGAAGACATTTTATGATGCAGCCTGCGTGTTTCATTCCTTAGCTGTATATGCATACCGAACAGTGCATGCAGGTAAGAGTGAGAATCATTAGTACAGCTTTTTCCTACTCGCCATGTCTTGAATAGTCATGTAACTGATTTGCAAGACGGATGACAGAAATAAACAGACATGACTGAAAGAGTCAAAAACCCACCCCTCCTCCATAACTGTTGGTTCCGTAGCCAGAACTCCCCCATCCCTTCCACCGGCACCCCTACCCCTCTCAACCTCCCAAATACCCGAGGAAACCATTGAAACGTGAATCCGACTCACGCGGGTTAACGGCCGACTTGCGAAGTAGTCCTTCTGGCAAAATGCCAGCCCGTGTTCATACGTTTATGCCGCCGAACGTTCGACGACAATCGGGTGCGAAATGCACGCGCTTCGTCTCAGTAGGAGTAACGATTACTAATTGACTGTGGTAACGGTAAGAAATGTATACGACTTAATGGACCGAAACGTCCCTTACCATAAAAAAATTTTTTCAACATTTTATCTTGATTTATTTTGTTTACCTTACTGCTAAAACTCGGCTTCAGTTCGGCTCGGTCAGTCGGTTCGTACACTATTTGTGAGAAATTTTTTCTTTCTGGTAACGACGGGTAGAGCTACCCAAGACAGATTTCGGATATGGTTGTTAAGAGGGCAGGGAGGGGTTGCTGCGGGTTTGAGACAGAAGAGGAAAGCGAAGATAGGTGGGCTTAATAGCTACGCGGCGTAGATTCCTTGTCGGCTAGTTGGGTCATGTACATTTGGGAGATGAGAGGGATTATGGGTGGAAATGAAGAGGAAGAGTGCTCCTTGTTTTTTTGCCTCGGATACCCGGAGTTGGGAAGAGACTGAAATACTGCTTGCTTCCGGAGTGCTCTTATAGCGGGGATAGAGAGGAGCTCAGATGTTACTTTGTGGGCAGAATTTGAGGTCTGAGGAAGAATGAGGCGATGAGGCAGTTAAAAGATATTTCACCAGTTACCTCCCTCCCTCTCTCATTAGTTTGGCGATATTTTGTTTTTTTTTTTTTTTTTTAGTAATCAAACTTGGAATGCCAGGCAATAAACTAAATTTTCAAGCACTTCTACGATTATGATCTGAAATCAATCTTTATTTTCGCGGATCAACATTACTCACATGATACAGAAAAATAATCATTTGCGTGACATCAGTAGAAACAATAGCTTCTTACATACCATATACGCTGAATACTAATTGGTGATACTCAGTTCAGGGCATGAAAGCCTGGCATAAGCATGCTCCACGTCTGAGAACATCTGAGGACCATCGAAACTCCACATTGACTTTTCAAATAGTTTTGCTGATTTTTTGATAAATCTCACAGCTTAACAGCCGGCACTATCAGTCGGATTTTTATATAAATTTATATGCAACGATTAAAATTTATGTACTAAAATACAGCGAAACACTAAAATAATGGACAAAAAAAAGGCACAGAAAATACACGTATTGAGTTGATTAAACCTATTAATTACAAATATTACAAGTGAAAAATTATTTAGATACACTGCACATAGTCATAAATTGACATCACAAAAAGTACACAAAAGGCATTTTAATAGAAACATGCTTGAAATATTAATAATGGTATAAGTAAAAAAAATATAAAATTATTTTAAAAAGTTGAATGAACAGAAATATTTTGGCCCATCAGGGAATGTTAAGCTAAGGGCAGAATTGCAAGAGGACAGGTCGGAAGGAAAGAAGAGCATAGGAGGGAAAAGCCGTACCAAAGTCGCCAACACAACATACAGAATACGTAAAAAATGCCAAAAAGACCGAAATCTCCGTAGTCGGTCTTTATAAATGGCGGAAACACTAGTGAAGTAGTCCGTGCGGTTACAAATACCAAAAGCAAATGCCCATTGGCAAGACCATGGGGGCGACTTTTTCCGAGGATTGCTTAGAAGCAAGTTAATGGCAAGTTTGGCTCTCTTAATGGTGTCAGTATCAATTTGCCATCGAAACGAGTGGACGAATCGTAGAGGGACAGGTTGTCCCATCGGCTCGCATAAAAAATGAACTATGCAAAAATAATACAAGAATTATGTAAAATAAGCCGTAGGAGTATGAAATATGATTAAATTGATGGAGAAATTAACAAAATCTTACTATGCAACACTGACATGTAAGCTCGGTCCAAAAGTGTTAAATTAAAACAAATCGGAGTAAAGATCGGCACGGATTTTTGCGCAGCTATTGACAAGCATTCGAATTCGAAAAGCAGTAATTGGCCCTAGATAAGCCAAGCAGCTAACAAGTAGTATTCTCGGACTGTCTAGATGGGACTTTATCCATTATCTCAAATTATTTAAATCACTGATTTACGGATGCAAAATTCGATACTCAATGTGCCAGTCAAAATAAATGGACGGATGATACTTAGTAGTACAGAGCCTATCACTTTTCCACTTTTTACCTAAAGAGACAGGCAACACGACAACTGCGGGTTCCTTTACTTCTGGTACGATAACGACGTCCTAGTAATATCACTAACAAGGGATATCCACACTGATTTAAAGGTAAGGTAGAAAATGAGGAGAAGGAAAAAGAAGAGAAGGCGAAGGAAGTGAAAAAACTGATGTCCGTTGGTCTTGTTATTCTTGATGTACAGCTGCAAATCGGGTACGCGGTAGCGCTGTGCAATAGGCGTTGTGGACGAATGCGAAAAAACAAAAAGTTTTTACTTCACTACTTCATTACCCGTCTGTTTTTGAAAATTAACATATTTTTTTTAGCTTTTTTTGTCTTGAAATTGCCATGCTTGGTCTGCATTTGGATAGGATTGACGTTATTAAGCCAAGTTACAAAAGTTTCAAAATCAAGTTTCTTGTCATTCAGGGCACATTGTTTAAAGATATCAATCAAACTTCTGTTTCATCACCGTGTTCCTTCTCGACATTGTTGCAGATGGCAGCTTCTTCAGTGCTGTGCCTTCGACCTCGCTTGTCCAAGTAATTCCACTCCGAAGTTCAATCTTCTCACCGAAACGGATAATTTTTCTGTATGCTTCTCACAGTGCCTAGGTACCATTCAATCTGTTCGGCTGTTGGCTCTCATTTTTGCCACAAAACTTGCTGGTAGTAGGAAGATTTCCAGTAGGTGGAATTTTTTTATCACCAACTACGTTGTCCCTGACCACTTCCGTCCTTTTATTCTGAAATTGATTTTTCTCAGCTCATTGCACTTGGCCTTTTGGCTTTAAATATGACAATTTCTGCAAATTTTTAAACAGTAAATAGCAAATCTAAATGGAGTAAACCTAAATGTAAATTCAGAGTAGTAAGGCTTAAATTTAAGCGGAGCACCTGAATCGCTTTCATCAGTCATCAGAGTACTGTTTTCTGAAGCTACTCAGATCGCAGGAGATATTGCTCTGAGCCATCCGACGGATTCACTCAGTTACGTACAGTCTGTTACGGGGAGAGAAATGAAGCGAAAGATGCTTGGAGTGTCTCTTCGTGACCGCGTAAGCAATCAAATTCTCCGCCAAATGAGAGGTTTTGCAAGAAACCACCATGACCATGTTAGAAAATCAAATCAGGGCGTTTTGCTGGCTTGCCGAGAAGCTCTGATGGACGTCGCCCAGTAGCGAATGGTATACTTGGAAAAGTAAGCGATCACTAGGCATTGGCCTGAGACGTGACCCATATAAATCGGACGGGCAGTGAGTATTAACTGGAAGTAGGCATTAACTGAAGGTACGGAGTTAAGATCGAAAA